TTTTTTGTCCAACAGTTATTTATTAGTACCCAGTATGTGTCAGACGCTGTTCTGGGTACGCAGGATATAGTTTTGAATGAAGTCCTTGTTCTGGTGGCAGGGGACAGAAAATGTGAGGTTGCCACTTCATGAGGGCAGCCAGGGAAGCCCTCACTGAAGGTGACATTTAACAAAGACTTGGAGATGAAGAGTGAGCCATCTGCTTACTGTATGCCTTGTCTTACTCTATGTACTTTATAGGTTCTAACTCATTTAAAAGACACCATAGTCTTATGAGGTGGGTAGTATTATCAACATTCTCATTTTAAAGATAATTAAAAAAAAAAAAAAAGCAAACATTTATTGAAAGTCTGGCATGTACCAGACACTTTACATGTATTAACAAGTTGAATCCTTGTAAAACTTTTTTTTTTATTTTCTGGTTTATCGCTTTATTTCCCCCATGTTCATTTCTTTTAGGATTTTTTTTTTAATTGTACTTTAGATGAAGGTTTACAGAACAAATAGTCTCTCATTAAACAGTTAGTACATATATTGTTTTATGACATTGGTTAACAACGCCATGACATGTCAACACTCTCCTTTCTCGACCTTGGGTTCCCTATTACCAGCTTTCCTGTCCCCTCCTGCCTTCTAGTCCTCGTCCCTGGGCTGTTGTGCCCCCTTAGTCTTGTTTTGTTTTATGGGCCTGTCTAATCTTTGGCTGAAGGGTGAATCTCGGGAGTGACTTCATTACTGAGCTAAAAGGGTGTCTGAGGGCCATACTCTCAGGGTTTCTCCAGTCTCTGTCAGACCATTAAGTCTGGTCTTTTTTGTGAGTTAGAATTTTGTTCTACATTTTTCTCCAGCTCTGGCCAGTACCCTCTGTTGTGATTCCTGTCAGAGCAGTCAGTGGTGGTAGCCGGGCACCATCTAGTTATACTGGACTCAGTCTGGTAGAGGCTGCGGTAGTGGTGGTCCATTAGTCTTTTGGGCTAACCTTGCCCTTGTATCTTGTTTTCTTCATTCTCCCTTGCTCCCGAAGGGGTAAGACCAGTAGAGTTGAAGATAATTTTTTTATATTTTATTTTTGTTGTTAAGAATATACATGGCAGAACATGCACCAGTGCAATAGTTTCTACATGTACAATTCAGCGACACTGTTTACATTCTTCGAGTTGAGCAACCATTCTCATCCTCCTTTTCTGAGTTGCTCCTCCCTCATTAATGTAAACTCACTGCCCCCTAAGTTTTCTATCTAATCTTTTGAGTTGCTATTGTCAATTTGATCCCATATAGATAGATCTTAAAAGAGTACAATGCTCAAGATACACATTAAAGATAAATTTTTAATTTGTTGTTGTTGTTACTTGTTGTCGAGTCAGCTCCAACTCATGGTGAACCCATATACAACAGAAGAAAACACTGTCCATTTGTTGTGGCCACTGTGTATTTTGAGTATCTTCCAACATAGGGGGCTCATCTTCCAGCACTATATCAGACAATATTCTGTTGTGATCCACAAGGTTTACACCGACTACTTTTTGGAAGTAGATTGCCAGGCCTTTCTTCCTAGTCTGTCTTAGTCTGAAGTGCCACTGAAACTTGTCCACCATGGGTGTCTTAGTCATCCAGTGCTGCTATAACAGAAATACCACAAATGGGTAGCTTTAACAAACAGAAATTTATTTTCTCACAGTTTAGGAGGCTAGAAGTCTGAATTCAGGGTGCCAACTCTAGGGAAAGGCTTTCTTCCCCTGTAGGCTCTGGAGAAAGGTCCTTGTCTCCTTGAGCTTCTGCTCCTGGGCAATCTTCATGCCGCTTGGCATCTCTCTTCCCCCATCTCTGCTTCTTCAATGCTTGTTTAATCTCTTTTATCTCAAAAGAGATGGACTTAAGACACACCCTACAGTAATCTTTCCTCATTACCATAACAAAGACAACCCATTCCCAAATGGGTTTATAACCACAGGCATAGAGGTTAGGATTTATAACACATAGTTTTGGGGGAGACAATTCAATCCATAACAATGGGTGACCCTGCTGGTATTTTAAATACTGGTGGCATAGCTTCCAGCATCACAGCACCACACAAGCCACTACAGTAGGACAAACTGACAGATGGGTGGTAGAAATTTTTATAGATTTCATTATTTTACAGAAAAGGAAACTGAAGCTCAGAAAGATTAAGTAACTTGCTCAGGGTTGCATGCTTAGTTAGTGGTAGAGCCAGGATTCAAACCTAGACTTTCCAGGGCCTGTATTCCTAACCACTAGGCTATGTGACCACTGCAGTCTACAATGGGCCTTTTTATTTAGAAAGGCTTTTACTGTAATTGCCTTTCATCAACATCCTGAGCATTCTTCACTCTGCATTTATTCTTCCACATAATGGTACTCTCCTCTGCCATTTGGTTTGTCCCATTCCTCCAGGGCCTTAATACGAAATCTGCATTTTTTCTTTCTTTAAGAGCTTCACCCTGACTCACAGCACTGATTTATCCTCATCAGGTTAGTCAAAGGGGCCGGCGAGTCTTATTCATCTGCAAATTGTAATTCCTTCAGCGCATGAAGACATGATTTCTGAAATTATCTCCTGCAACTATTTTGTTCTTTATGGTTTCTAATCATTCCTTAGAATCTGGTTTTTTAAAATTCCACAACGGTCCAAGATGACCTTGGCTACATTTAAAAGTATCTTTATCAGACTAAGTTGATTTATTTGTAGCCCTAGTACACTGCCCTCTGGAAAAGTGGTTTGATTTCAGGCTTTTCTTTATGGAAAATGGAAAGGAAAAATGTTGACTATCAAATATCATTAATTTACTCTGTTAAAATCTCTAAAAATCCTGGCTATTCAAAGTTTCTATTATAAATAAATTCCTTTGATTTCTAAGTAATAACATAATGGATGACTAAAACTATTTTTCTTAGTTCTGGTCATATGTACATATACCATGCCAGTTTCCTGAGAGGTAGGACTATTCTTTCTAGTAAGTTCTATCTACCAATATTCTGTGGATATTTAATAAATTATTAATGACCAGCAATACTGAATCCCTTAACTAAAAACTCTAGAACTATCTTGGTTCTAGTCAGTCATCTGTAAAATGAAGACACTCTATCTTCTGGAGGATACTGTGAGTTCTGTTATTTATACTAGCGTAACTTAAATGATGGCCCAAAATTTTGAATCCAGAATTCTTCACTTGCAGTACCATTTTATGTAAAGATAAAATTAATGAATTTTGAACCACTGCCTCTCAAGACTAAAAATGACTAAGGCAACTATCTCTAAATTTTCGATTCTAAGGACCAAGAAATTACAAAAAAAAAAAAACAAAAAACGACAGAAACTTGATATGGGGTACCAACATTTAATCTTGCACAGTTAGGACATAAGAAACACCTATCATTTACTAAAATTAATATTTTATAATAGAAATGACATTTTAATGTCAAGAAGATGGAAGAACATTCTCAGAATAAAGAAAAACTCCATTGCAAAATAGGAAAGTTAGCCAGCCTTATACTGACATATCTTGGCACGCCCACCTCACTCCCTTATTTCCCGAGAGCTTGCACACATCCACTGTCACCTTGCTTTCCTCATTTTGTTGTAGACAGGTGAGAACTTTGCTTGGGCATCCATTGTTTTAAGTCTCATCTTATCCAGTCACCCACCTGATGCTTTAACTCCCTTCTACAGCATCCCTGCCTCTGACTGAACATCTCCAGCAATGGGGAATTTACCACCATCTGACACAGGCTATTTGGAGGGCATGACTATTAAAAAGTTATCATATCAAGTAAAATTTATCTCTTTTATAGCTTTCAAGCACTGTTCCTAGGTCTATCCTGGGCCTAAAGAGCAAAAATCTAATCTTCCAAAGGATACTACTTTAAATACCTGAACCCTGAATATCCTCTAGTTCCTTAAACCACCCTCCTGCTCTGTACAGTCCCCAAGTGCTATCCTGGGTGCTTTCTTTCCTCTGGGCATGGTCCAGTGTGGACTGGGAAAACAGGAGCATAGAGCTGTTAAAAAACAAAAAAGTACTTCTTTAGTGAAGTAAGGTAAGAAATAATCCACCTATTTCAAAGACATGTTAGTAGCAGGCTGTGAGGGCCATGTAGACGATCATCTTTTATGGTTATGTTATTAGCTACCATTGAGTCAACTCTGACTCATGGTGACTTTATGTACAACAGGACAAAGCGCTGCCTGGTCCTGCATCATCCTCACTATCACCAGTAGGTCTGAATCCATCATTGCAACTACTGTGGATCCTTTACTAGGGCTACCAATACAACCCCCAATATTACTGAGATTAGATATTGTCTTAGTTTCTTAGAGCTGCTATAACAGAAATATCACAAGTGGGTGGCTTTAATGAACAGAAATTTATTTTCTCACAGTTGTTTCTGTTTTGTTAGGTGCCATCAAGTTGGTTCCTACTCATACCGACCCTACGTACGACAGAACGGAACACTGCCTGGTCCTGTACCATCCTCACAATCGTTGCTATGTTTGAGCCCATTGTTGCAGCCACTGGGTCAATCCATCTTGTTGAAGGTCTTCCTTTCTTTCACCGACCCGCTACTTTACTGAGCATGATGTCTTTCTCCAGGGAGTGGTACCTCCTGATAACATGTACAAAGTATGTGAGACGAAGTATCGCTATCTTCGCTTCTAAGGAGCATTCTGGCTGTACTTCTTCCAAGACAGATTTGTTCTTTCTTCTGGCAGACCATGGTATACAGTTAGGATGCTAGAAGTCCAAATTCAGGGCATGGGCTCTGGGGGAGGCTTGCTTTCTCTGTCATTCTCTCTGTGTCAGCTCTGGGGAAAGGTCCTTGTCTCTTTTCAGCTTCTTTTCCTCAGTTCTTTGGCAATCTTCATGTGGCGTGGCATCTATCTTACCCCACCTGTGTTTCCTTGCTTCTGTGCCTAATCTGCTCTTTTTATATCTCAAAAGTCATTGGCTTAAGACATACTGTACACCAATACGGCCTCATTAACATAAGAAAGAGAAGCCCATTCCCAAATGGTATCCCACTCACATGTATAAGGGTTAGGATTCTGACATAAATTTTGGGTGGGGTGAAGCACAATACAACACGTAACAGATGTTATTAGGCCAAGAAATGAGGAACCAGACTGGGGACCATGGGGCTATTAAACCAAGAATGTTTTCCCCAAGTACCACTCCTAAACTCCTGTCAACTATCAGTCCAGCCTGCCCTATTCACTTTCTCTAGCTTCTTCCTTTAGAATTAGGGTCTGAGATCTCTTCATTCTTGGCTAATGATCACTACTCCACCCATCTGATCCACCCTTCAGTGTAGAGAAGACATTTCAAAATTTATAGCTGCTGAATACAGCTGTATAATACAATACAGCTGCATTATGAAAAGACAGGCATTCTGACCTTGAAGGAAAGCTCATCTTCATTCTCCCCGTGGAAATCAAACAAAGCTTTGGCCTTCCTCCCCTTCGGTGCTGCAGCAGACAGACCTTTTGCCTCACCTATGAAGACATCAAAAATTCAAATATAGAAAACACTGGACTGAAACACAACCAAGAATTTAGAAATCCACTTGTCACTTTTAGAACAGAATATTTTCAATTAGTTTTAAAGATATTTAACTTGCCGGAAGATGAAGGATGTTCTCTTAGCAGGGAAAAAATCATGCAAAATATATTTAGTAAACCCAATTAGCCATTATTAAATGAAGGCACTTTTCTTTTTCTATAACTCCAACATAGTAAATGAATGGAGTTTGCATATTATTATGAATCAACTCTTTCAAATGCAAACAGCGTGTAGGCAAACAACTTGAACTGAGCATGTACATATATACATATATATATAGATATGTGTATACACATACATACATACATGTATATATGTGTGCATACACACACACACACAAAGGTCTCAGCTTCCCTCGGAGAGTAAGATTCATTTCTTATATTGTCATACCTGGGCAGGGCCGCACAAAAACGGCTGGGAAGATTCCCTCCCTGTCATGCAGTCTGCCCTTGTACCAGTCGGAGTCCAGACACTCCAGGATCAGGATCCGGTCTCCCCTATTGAACGACAAGTCTTCACTGGTCTCCGCTGTAAAACTGTGAAGAGCTTCGCACCATTCTCCAGAAAGACTATTATCCTGTTACAAATCAGAAGACTGTGGTAAGAAATGTAAGACTGTATTTGAAATTAATTTCTATGAAGCTTAAAAAGCAGTAGCAGGAAAGCTAAAGGGTCATAAGATTTCAAGGTGTGCGATGTCTTTAAATCAACCTACAATTTATGTTGCTATGAAGTTTCAGACATAAGAGTTTCCAATAACTTTTCTCTTAAAATGTAATTCTAAATGACAAGGGTAATAGAATTTGTGGCTTTTCTGCTTTTAAGGAATATGCAGTACTTTAGCAAAACCCTTTTTCTTATTATGATCTATGACATTAATTACATTAAAGATTTAGGTAAGAGCATTCAATATTTATGTACAGTGTGCTTCGAACCAGCTCGTTTCTGTTCGAACCCCTACTGAGAATCTGCAAGCCTAACAAGTTCCCAGGTGACGCTAACGCTGCTGGTTAGGGACCAGTTCTGAGACCCACTAGTAGCAGTGGTTTTCAAAACAATAAGAATCACCGGGGGGTCTTGTTAAAATGTAGATTCTGTTTCAGTATTTCAGGGGTGGGGGTGGAAATGCAAATTCTCAGCAGGGGTTGGAACTGGAAGGAATCAGATGAAGTGTTTGTGATACTATGAAAAAATTCAGGTGACGCATCGATCTAGTTTTCAGCGAATGTCTTCTTTCCCTGAATTAGGAAGGATCAGAACTGGGCAGTCTATTTCCCAGGTGTCTCTTTGATTGACTCAGATTCCATTGCATATCTGTGTTGTTGACAGCTGCCTCGTGTCAGACCCCGACTCATGGCGACCGCATGCACAGCGGGATTGGACTGTTGTGGTCCATAGTGTTTTTACTGGCTGATTTTGGTAGACAATCGGGCCTTTCTTCCTAGTCCATCTTAGTCTGGAAGCTCTGCTGAAACCTGTTCAGCATCATATCAACATGCAAGCTTCCACTGACAGGTGGGTGGTGGCTGCGCTCAAGGTGCATTGGATGGGAACTGAACCCAGGTCTTCTGCATGGAAGGGAGAATTCTACCACTGAACCACCACTGCCCTCCCATCACATACCTAGAGCTTCATAACTCATAATTTTAATTTTATGAGGCATAGTTAGCTCTGAGGCTGGCAGGATTTAACCAACAAAATGTGGTGGGCTGTTACGAAATAGTGCTCTAACAAGGATGCGTTTACCTCACACATATCAGGGGAAGGCTTTGCTCTGTGAAGAGGCATCTTTGCCAAGTTGGGATGGGAACCTTATACTCAAAAAGCTCACGCAGGCAGAAAAGGATGATAGGAGCAAAGGTTTTGGAGCCAGGTGGTATGGGTTCCGGACCCAGCTCTGTCACTTCCTAACTGCGTGACATTGGGCAAGATACTTCTCTTCACCTCACTTTCATCTTAGGGTTGTTGTGAGGATTAAATGAGATAATGCACGTTAAACACTTAGCACAGTGCCTGGCACACTGTAAGTTCCCAATAACTGATGACTTACAAAACAAAAATAAAGAACAAGCAAACAAAAAACCCTAACCTTAGCCCTCTTTCCCCTGGACTTGAGTAACTAACCCTGAAGAATGGCACTTATCACTCCCAAGAAACACAGGCAATCATGCAAACATTTTCTTTTGGAGAACTGTAGTCAGTTCAACATTAGCCACCTATAGTATCTCTTTTATGATTTTTCCAGTCATGTATCTTTCCTAGTTTTCTATCAGGGACTGAGTGTTTTTCTTACCCATTTGTATGAGCTCTCTATATAATAAAGATATTAACTATTTTATTCATTGCAAACATTTCCTATATGAATTGAAAAATGATTTAATAGTATTTTCTCTTGACAGTTATCGTTAATATTCCACCAAGAGTTTAAACCTGGCTGTCACTACAGTTACCTAGTCAAGCAGCCTACCTGAGAACTTGAGCTGGAATCTTCATTTTTGGTCTTTGGTGGTACCTCTGCGCCTACGTTGAAAAAAAAAAAAGGCTGAAATGTCAGATGTAAAGACCATACAGTATTGGAGAAAAACTGTGGCCAAAGAGTGAAGAGTCTGGAATTCTAGACTTCACATGTACTGGGTATGTAACCTTGACCTGGTACTACCATCTCTGGGCTTGTTCCCTTAACTGTAAAGTGAAGGGAGATATACATTAGTGAAACTCTATAGTCCATTTCTGTTTAAAAGTCTATACATAGAGTCTTTGTCTGCCATTTCTGAAATGAATCTATTGCTATTTACCAAAAAAACAACAAAACCCAGCTCTTTGAGAGACTACCCCTATAAGATTAACTAACACAAATTACCATTTTAAAATAATTTTTCTTTCTGTATTAGAAAACATGGCAATATGGATTATTATGCAACTTTATCCTATTATTTGGTTTATTTGAATCAGGACATGACATAATCAGAAACTCTATTCTCTCTATACTCACTGAAAACATTTGCACCAGGAGTGGGATGGTCTTCCACAAGTTCCACAAAGTTAAGGGGGAAAATCCCAGTTCTGTCTCGAAGTTCGCCTCTGGCCCATTCCTCATTCACATACTCTTTAAGAACAATAATTTCTCCCTCTGAGAAACTTAACTCATCCTTCTGGTCTCCAATATATTCAAACCGAGCAACACATCTTGAGCTTCTGAACAAAGAAGAACACATCTGTGGGTTAACTAGAGAGTAATTAACTTTCAAAAACCTCCATTTGGTCTCTCAGCAAACATGCGAGGCATTATTTTAAATCTTCCATGAAAAAGAATAAGCTACACTTCTAAATGATAGTTCTTACTTTTGAAATAGGAACCTGTCCACTCAGAAAAGTCAAGGGTCAAGGTCACAGAGTTCATGCAGATTCCACATAAGCAGCTGGTGGTCAGTTTTTACACTACCATGTCTTTTCATCACCTTTACTGCAATGCAGAATCTCCCCAGTTTCCATTATCTTTGTATCCTCAAGCCATAGCAACCTATGGGCCAACCTGAACCCTTGCAATCATAAATGCATTGAGTTTAGGAGTGCTAACCCTGAGAATGGAAACCCTGGTGGCGGAGTGGTTAAGAGTTCGACTGCTAACCAAAAGGTCGGCAGTTCAAATACACCAGCTGCTCCTTGAAAACCCTATAGGGTCGCTATAAGTCAGAACTGACTCAACAGCAACAGTTGTTTTTTTTGTTAACCCTGAGAATCTCAGGGCAGGAAATCAAACTGCCATGGTAGAACGCAACAGGTATCAGCTGGGCACAGAGAAGATGCTCAATATACATTAATCAATCAGTGAGCTGCGCATATAGAGAAATGGCTTTCAAAACTAGGAGAAGGTACGAAGAAAACAGAAACTTGGCATATCATCTCATACCACTTAATCTTATACCTAACACTGCTGCTTTTAAAAAGTAGTTTTGTATCTCCTTTAAAAAGCCTTCATTTCTGAGAACCAGAATGATCCTTATATGATCTACAATTTTGACTGAAAATAAGATAAAAGCAGAGATAAAACTGTGTCTCTGGAAGGCATGATTTAATACCAAAACTTCGATTTGAAGAACACAGGCTTTAGAAAGGAGGTTTCAGTAGCAACAGGCTGAGGAGAAGCAATTGCCTGATGAGAAACGGTTGGTCCTGGCTCCAATCAAATTCTGATTTATGTCAGGTCAGTGGATCAATGTCTGTGAAAGCCCACTTTAAATTTGACCTGCTGACACAGGAAATACTGCTTAAAAATAGGAGAAATACTGAACCTGAAATAGAGCACAACCGTTTGGGCATCAGAAGTTTTCTTATTTGTGACAACCTTTGCATTTATTTTCTAAACTCTTTCGGGAGCTTCTCCTTATGTCTGACCTATTCGAAGACAGGTTTACAGTCTTTAGCAGGTAGTGAATTCTATTAATTTGCTCATTGAACTATAATATAAAGTTTCACTGTGGCAGTGTTTTAAATCACAAAGGAGCTACAATGATGCATAAAAGGGTATATAAATTCACCAAAAGGTTCTCAGACATAAAGGCAGACCACTCTAACTTAACTCTTTCTTCGCTTTCTCCAAGTTCCTGTTTTGAAAACAAAACAATACAAAATGTCTAGCAGTTTTTATAGGATTTATATTTCTATAAGGTTTAAACACTTTCCATGACAAAAATATCTGAACCTTCTAGAAAGTACTTGGTAGCTCAACACCAGAAGGCCAAAATAAAATGCACTGGGTGATGTTATGGATTAAATTGTGTCCCCCAAAAATATGTGTTGGGAGTCCTATTTGGAGATCCTATTTGGATCTATTTGGAGATCCTATTTGGAGATAGGGTTTTCTTTGTTATGTTGATGAGGCCATATCAGTGTAGGGTGTGTCCTAAGTGTAATCATTCCTGAGTTATAAAAAGAGCAGATGAGACAAAGAAGTACCACAAGCTGGGAAGACAGACACCACATAAAGACTGTCAAGGAATTGAGCAACACTTGGGCTATAGAAGTTGAGACAAGGATCTTCCCCCAGAGCAGAGAGAGGGCCTTTCCCCAGAGCTGGTGCCCTGAATTCAGACTTCTAGCCTCCTAAACTCTGAAAAAATAAATTTCTGTTCTTTAAAGCCACCCACTTGTGGTATTTGTTACAGTAGCACTCGGAAACTAAGAGAGATGACAAAGCTATCTCTGCTCACGCTGAGGCCAGGCTGTGGGAAGCATCTGGATGGACCCTGTTGCGCTGGTCTGTGTACATCTTGCATTGATACGGAGAACTTACGCTTATGTCAGCTTCTACCAGCATGCTGCATTTCCATCAGAATTTTAATCCTCTAAAGCTTTTTAAACAAGCAAACTTGTTTAAACATTTGAAATGTTTAAGCTCAGTAATTCTTTATGATATAAATACTTGCCTCCTTCATATTTTGTGGAAAAGAACATAAATAAAACTTACTTAACACAATGCGATGAAATCGATCCTCTTTTCCCATTTCCTCTGTCTGGAATATCGATCTAGGAAAGACAAAAGTCAAGGGAACAATTGTATTTTTTTCAGAGTTTAATAAGATATATTTAATGTTAAGTAATAAAGAAATCCCTGGGTGGTATAAATCCTTAACATTGTCAGCTGCTAAACTAAAGGCTGGTGGTTCAAGTCCACCCGGATGTACTTTGAAGAAAGGCCTGCGATCTACTCCCCAAAAATCAGCCATTGAAAACACTATGGCACACAATTTTACTCTGACACACATGAGGTCACCATTAATTAGAGTCGACTCAGTGGTCAACTGGTTTACTAGGAAATGCATCATTGAAATCAACTAGTTTAGTTGGGTGTTAACCTGATTAAGTGGTACCATGTGTACAAAGAGTCTTACCCTGAATTTTGGTTTTGAAAAAAATTCCTAACTTGTGATGTTGTCTTCCTCGTGTAGCCAATCAGTCCTTCTTTTATTTGCTGGAACAAGCGCATTAATATCATTCTACCCCTGACTGAGCTTTCTCTATTGCATGTCTTCCAAGTTGAAAACTTCAAACGAGAAGGACTTGATAAAGCAACTGGGCCCAGGCATTTGTGCTGTCACACATCACTACCATCACACCTACTCCAGTGTTGGGAGAATTCTACAATACTTCCCTGACCCCGCAAAAAACATTTTAGTCTAACTTGTGGATTCTCTCCATACTCATAACTCTGAAATATTTATTTTTCTCCCCTGTAATGTGAATAGAGAAGGAATACTTAGTGAGCATCTACCAAGTGGCAAGCACTTTACAGAGTATCTCATGACAAGGTTCAGCAGAGCTGGGTTTTATAAAATATTTGGCCATGACACATGCCATCTGAAAACTACTTAAGGCTTTGAAGTTTATATTAAACAAATCAGCGGCTTCTTGATGAATTCTAAAAGTTCGAAGTTTTAAAACAATTTTTTAAACTTGTGGGCTCAGAAATAACACTTATCTAACAATAATGTGGCAAATTCAGTAAGATTGATTTCAGTGTGGTAATTGTGCTTTTAAGAGTACTGTTACATGGGGCAGAAGAAAAATGAAGAAGGGTGCTAGAACTAACATTATTCTCAATATTAATTTAAAGAGTGTGGTTGGATTCCTCCAAAGAATCAGGACATACATATACTAGACAATTTTTAAGACCCACATTTTTTTACTCTAAGAGACTCAAATGCATTTATATTTGAAAAATAGAGGTTCCACTGTTATGCTTGTTTTCTAAGCTTCTGATGTAATGGAAAATTATTTGCTTTTTCTCCCAAATAAGCTGTTAATGTTCAACTATTTAAGCTGGCTTTACTGATATTTTCTGGTATCAACAGGTTATATCAGAGACTGAGTCGTACTCTTCCTGTTGATATAAATGTTCCAGTGGCAGTCTGATTTTATCCCACTATTTCATAGCCACCTGGGTTTAGCACTTAGGGATCCATCACAGTGGTCTGCTTTCACAAGTTAGGTGGTGATGGTGTATAAAATTCTGATGCTTTAATGTCATCTTTCCCACTCAGATTTGAAATTACTTCGTGAAAAACCATTAATGGACCACCAGCTCCAATAAAAGTACTTTAGTATTTCCAAATATATACATATTTGTATATGGAGATGGCGATAGAAATAATGAAAGAAACCAAAAATAAAGTGCACTCCAAAGCAAACGAGAAGTGGTACCATAATCTCAGAGAACACTTCTTAAAGGAAAATTTACTGTGTTGTTGTTAGCAGCTGTTACGTCAGCCCCAACTCATGGTGATCCCATGCATAACGGAACGAAACATTGCCTGGTCCTGCACCATTCCCATGATCGGCTGAGGATCAGACTATCGTAATCCATAGAGTTAAGGACAATTTAGGACCATTTAATTTATTTTTACTAAATGCCTCAAAGAATTAACATACATCCTTAAGTGACTGAAAACCCTCCAAGAATAGTTGCTTCAACAGTAGATCCTATGGTGGTATTTCATCTTAGGATTTCAGAAAGCATTTAGGCATTAAGTTCTCATACCCCATAATATGAAAATAAATAACCATTACCTATTTGAACAAGGCCTTATTTTTTTGAATTTTCTAAACACCAAATGGATCAATGAAAGAGAGAACTAGAATCCAAGAATCTAGACTTCTGATTATTTTTTCCAACCTGCAAGCCACATTGAACCCACTCTCCTCTTTCACTGAGTATATGACCAACTAAAACAAACATGACTCACAATTACTTTGACGTAGTTGGCAGGAAATAGACCAGTCTGGTTTCTACATTTCCCTCTGTACCAATCTGTATCTATTTTTTCCAGAAGATAAACAATTTCTCCAGAAGCAAGGTTCAAATCATCGACTTGCTCTGTAATATAAAATTGAAATTACATATGATGAATTATCCTGGTTGCAGATTTGATTAGAGCAGAGCACAAAGCAGCATTTGGTTCTGTCCATTGAGACACAGTATGTTCCACTGATTCTGAGAACAGACTATACTAATCAAATTGATTTTTAAAAATACTATTCTTTTTTGGGAAATATTGTTATGAGCTCCCTTTTATAAAACCAATTTAGGTATATTTATCATGCACTTATTTATGAGAAATGGTAAAAATAAAAAGTTGTGTTGGCCAATGATTCCTACTGTGCAATATAAACCTCTTGCTGCCAGTTTTACTGAACACACATTGAACAATTGAGGGCTTTATAAACATGGTATAATAGTCATATCATTATTCTCAATTGTGCTTAGAAATCATTTCAACTTGAAAATATTAACTAAGGGAATACGTACTATAGCTCTTTAGCAAGTAAATTTACCCACACTAAAATAAAAATCAGTCTACCAAGTATATTAAAAAAAGGAGAAAGTTATAAATAACTCAGAAGCTTATTTACTAAAGTTAATGATTACAAAACAAATTTATATTTTGATCTCCTAGGGAGTAGCTGAGATACGTGTCAGTTTGACAACTCTAGGACACAAGAACTTTACTTATTAAATTAGAATTAATTTCAGTGGAGCTGTTAATTGGTACCTACTGTTCTGAAGGAATTAAAAAGTCTGTAATTGGTAGGCAACTTATTTATTTATTCTCTCTCTCTGAGAGTTTCAAAGGCAAGGGTATGCGCTAAGCTGTCTGGAATGTTGGGTGCAATCAACCCTTCCAGAGGTCTGAGTGATGGATAGCATGACCTCTCCAATCTAGGATTCTGTAGGCACAGAAATGAAGAAAGATGGCCTTGAGAGGCTGACCCAAGAAGGATGCCCGTTCCTGGATCCTAAGGTTCTACTGCTTTTTTATTTATGTCCTTACCTGCTGGAAAATCATGAAGAACAACAGCGTGAGGAGCACTACTGTCAACAGGCTTCTGAGAGTGGCTTGGATCCTTAGCGGGGAAACAGGGCTGTGAATGAAGTGTGCAGGATGGAGGCTGGATTTATTATTCGCTCTGAGACCAACTTCTTTCATTAAAGTCCTCTGGACACAATTACATTAAGAGTACAAGATGCAAACCACACAGTGGAGACAAATAAGGGAATCATTATCAAGTTGAGAAGGAATGTGTTTCGTCAAGGGAGGACAGAAATAACGCTCAATTATCAACATTCCCAGCATGGTTTTGTTTTTTTTTTTAAAACCAAGAGAGTAAAACTTAACCTTTATTTTTTGGTTTTGTTCTGCCTTTTATTTTTAACAGTACCTAGTCTACCTTGAAGCAGTGGTTTTTGACCTTTTTCCATTTCAAGGGTGGCTTTTCCCTTAAACTGTGACCAGGACTAAACTCGGATAACACAGCCTTAAAAGTTGTGTCTTCATTAGGATGGGAAGAGAAGAAAGTTCTGCGATTTACGTTTTTGCCTTTGAGAGGAACTAATGAATTTCCACAAAAGGATAATTCACAAAAAGTAAAATTCATTTCATTTATTAGTATTTAACGGAATGCCTTCTCTAATTTGAAAACAGCACTACCTCCCATGCCTGGCCTGAGTTTTCTATTTTATCTGAATGGTTTATTTAGCGGTAATTCTAAGTAAATTAACAAAGAGAATTCAATGTTCTCTATTCATCTTGCCAATTGCCTAGATTGGCTAGAGGAAAGGCTAAATTTGAAGAGTGACCCTTTCTTATTGAAAGCGGTTATTATTCTTAGTTTCTCTGTATGACGCGACAGGCTTATCCACATCACTATCATCGTCATCAAGTCTGACTGAAGGATAGTATTATTTGGAGTTACAATCTAAACTCTTTGACACTGGCAAACCTGTGAAATAAGTGGAGGCAGATTTTTGTGTCCCATCATATCCTTCAATTACTCTTGTCCCTTTAGGGCCATCAAATGCTTCTATTCCTGTCCTCTCCCCTGGCCATGCTGCACGCTCCTGATCAGATCCACTGTGGATGATGGTTCACTTTGTGGTTTCCAAATGCAGTACATTTGCTCAGGATATTTTCTGAATCTCACCGGCTCTTTCAACCAAAATGGCCTGTGGAGGCGCCCTACCTTCCCCCAAGTTATGTAAAGTGAAATACTAACTTACATCAAGAGAGTAACAGCTAATGTTGGCTTACTGTATTAGCTTACCAAGTGTTATGGATTGAACTGTGTCCCCCTAAAAGATATGCTGAAGTCCTAACCCCTCTATACTTGTGAATGTGACCTTGTTTGGGGAAAGGGTCTTTCTTTGAAGGTATTATCAGTGATGTTAACAAGGTTACAACAGAGTAGGGTGAGTTCTAATCCTATATGACCAGTGTTTTATAAGAGGAGAGAAGAGACATAGAAACAGAGTCATATAGAAGGAAGAACCATTTGAAAACACACTTCCAAGTCAAAGAATACCATGAGATGCCTGGGGCTACCAGAAGCTGGAAGAATCAAGGCAGGATCTTCCCCTAGAGTAGACAGAGAGCATGGCCCTGCTGATGCCCTGCTGTTGTACTTGTACCTTCAGAACTGTGAGAAAATAGATATCTGTTCTTTAAAGCTACCCGCTTTGTGGTATTTTATTATGGCAGTGTTTGGAAACTGAGACATCAAGGTAACACAGACATTTTCTTAGGGATTGGTTAGTACTTTTCCCTAAGTAAGTGAGCCATGTGGGAATTTCAGGAATTGTAGAAGGGAATTGTGAGATATTTTATATAAACTATTATTTATATAATGTATTATACGTGTGCATGTAAGGGTTTTACTTTTTTTCTGATTTACTCATCTGTGGAGAAAGAATGATTCTCTAATAAATGATGTTAGGATAGATGGCTATCCACTTGGAAAAAAATGAAGTTAGAGACCTATCTCACACCAAACACAAGCATGAATTACAGATAGATTAAAGACCTAAGCATAACCAAGAAGGGCAGGGGGCGGCGACTTGTGTCCCCCAGTTACACGGTTTCCCTTCTCCGCCTTTATGTATAGATATCCTTGGCCATGCTGCTCGTCAGTCTGGCCTGGCAGATAAAGGGAGAGAGGGACAGGTTAGACAGGCTTGCCCACAAGGGGTCAGTATAACTCAGTCCACACCATCAGAGTGGATATCTGGTAGGTACATCTAATACATTTCAAACCTCTTTTCAATATGACTATAATTGCTAACAATAATAATAACAGCTAATGTTTACTGTTCACTCGCTATGTGTGACTGTTTTAAATACCTTGTATGTATAAGTTCATTTAATTTTTTAAACATCTTTACCGGGATATAATTCACATACCATAAAATTCACCCATTTAAAGTGTACAATTCAATGGTTTTAGTATATTCACAGGGTTGTGAAACCATCAACACAATCTAAGTCTAGAATATTTTCATCATCCCAAAGGAAACCTCATACCCATCAGTGGTCATTACCCATGCCCAGCTCTAGGCAACCACTAGTCTACTTTCTGTCTCTATGGATTTACGTATCTGGACTTTTCATATAAATAGAATATACAATATATCACTTAATTCTAAAAACAACTCTGTCAGGAATTACCATACCTATTTCACACATTAAAAAATGAAGTTTAAAAATGTGGTGCATATATACAATGGAATACTACTCAGCCATAAAGAGACATGAAGTCCTGATAGATGTTATAACATAGATGAGCCTTGAAAATATTACGCTGAGCAAAGTAAGCCAATCACAAAAGGATGAATATTCTATGATCTCACTTATATGAGACATCTAGAATAGGAAAATGTATAGAGACCAAAGTTTATTAGCGGTTACCAGGGGCAATGGAAGGAGGGGAGGGAGAGTTGTTATGGATTGAATTGTGTCCCCCCAAAATATGTGTCAGTTTGGCTAGGCCATGATTCCCAGTATTTTGCGATTGTCCACCATTTTGCCATCTGATGTGATTTTCCTATGTGTTGTAAATCTCACCTCTACGATGTCAATGAGGCAGGATTAGATCTACAAGATTAAGTTGTGTTTTAAGTCAACCTCTTTTGAGATATAAAAGAGAAGTGAGCAGAGAGACAGGGGGACCTCATACCACCAAGAAATGAGAGCCAGGAGAATAGTGCATCCTTTGGACCTGGGGTCCCTGGGCTAAGAAGCCCTCGTAGACCCAGGTGAAGACAAGGACCTTCCCCCAGAGCTGACAGAGAGAGAAAGCCTTCCCCTGGAGGTGACACCCCTGAATTTGGACTTCAAGCCTCCTAGATGGTGAGAGAATAAATTTCTCTTTCTTAAAGCCATCCACTTGTGGTATTTTTGTTATAGCAGCACTAGATAACTAAGACAGGAGTCATTAATTAGGAAGCAGAGAGTTACTGTTTATGGTGATAGAAAATTTGGCAGTAATTATTGGTGAGGGTTGCCCATGATTACTGTAATTCATGTCACTAAATTGTACATGTGGCAAATGTTGAATTGGCTAATGTTGTGTTATATATATTTTTACAACAACAAAAATAAAGTTTAGAGAGGTTAAATAACTGCCTAAGGTGATGGAAGAGGAACTCAAACCCAGCTCCATGAAATCTAAGTCTGTGCTCTTCAGCATGCATGAGACACCAATCTCCCACTTTCCCCATCATCTGTCCAATGCAACCTCAACTGATAATGTTCAATATGCTCTGTTTTCTAAGGTAAGGGAAAGTATAACACATTCTTAGAAATCTTTACCTTAATATCAGGCTTTCAAAGTAACTTGGGTGGTGCAAGCATTTGCGATGGGTTACTAACCTAAAGGTTGGCGGTTCGACCACCCAGTGGCACTGCGGAATAAAGCCTGGTGAACTGCTTCCATAAAGTTTACAGCCACGAAGACCCTATGGAGCAATTCTACTCTGTTACACAGATGTCTCCGTGAGTTAGGGGCCAACTCGACTGCAGCTAACAACAAATGCCTTGTAATCATATAATTGGAATTTAAAATAAACAAACAAAATACTAGGCTTTCAAATAAGTTTCATTTTTTTCTAAAAAACATAGTGATGGCCAACAGTTCAGATGCTTACAGAGGCTTAATCAGTATCACCAGTAGCTGGCAATCAGAGGCAACTCTCTGAAGTCTATAGTACAAGATGAGTAAGGTAATGTTTAATCTGAAGTCTATAGTACAACATGAGTAACGTAATATTTAAAGTAGAGAAAACTTGGGACTTTAGCTACCTTCAAAACAGAACTGCCTTCTAAGAAGAAAGAATGGGAGTAGAGTATAAAAAGTAGGGTAAGTGGCAAACCAGATTACTTTACTTGGGTTAAATGATGGGTGGGTGTTATTTTTCATGTTTGCTACAGTAACTAACAGACACTAAACATTTAACTGGGTAACTTAGGAAGTTCTTTTAAAAATATATCTCTACAAATTTCTCAATGGCATTCTTCTTCTTGCTAAACAAACGATCTTCAATAATCATTGCATTCTCCAAGGCTCCACGAATATCTCAGGCCCAAACTGTGACTTGTGTTTGCTGGATTACATTTCATTTCATTATTTTAAGAGCTGTAATCAGAGAAATTAGGTTTATACTAAGTTTAAATCTTTAAGGGATGTGCTTTTTACATCAGACTTAGCAATTACAGAGCTCTCTTTTAAAATAATTGTCCATTCTGCTAGGAAACTAATATCTGGCCCTTTGGTAAATATGTTTACATTATTTAAAAAAATAAACAGATCTCACAGTTGAAAATTACTGACCGAGTGTCTGGCTGCTCTAAGTCTGCACAACATGAGGGAAAATACAGGGCAGTCATTCTGTGTATCAAAGTGATTAGTATGGCAGCGGCAAGTCTCTTAGAAGTAATTTATTCTCAAAATGGAATAAAATGCAACTGTAATTTTTGCTCTAGTTAAAATAAATGTGCTAATAAAAACCTGAGGATGAGATATAATTAATAGTTCTACGAAATGTGCTACCATGTGTGATTTGAGGGCTGTACAATATTAATTCCTTACTCTTTGTCTGTTTCGAAGATGTTCATCAAGTGGGGTGATAATCTTCAGCTGAGACAGGTGAACTCTGCCAGTATCTTCTCCCTTTTGGCATTCCAAGTAATTATTTTCAGCCTGCTTCAGCATCACAAGTACGTCCCCACGCTGTAAGGTACAATACCACTCTCTGAAGAAATCATTATTTAATAAAACATTATTACTTTTTATTATTTTTTTCACATTTTAATCTTTGGAGCCTGAAGCATTTAATAATGTGTAATAGAAGTAATAGAGGCCAGAATTTTTTTATATTAGTCAGTAAAAAAAGAGCCCTACTTTACCTTACAAGAGAGTTCTCCTGGGTTTTCCGAGACAATGTCTTCACTGGCAATTCCATGAGGCACAGACAGCTTAAATGCAAACCAATAAGAGGATTATTCACAATCAGATAACCTCCTCATAAATTGCTGGGCATCTGGGGATTTGGCATGTATACTGAAAGGGCAGGTCCTCCAGCAGTTAAACTCTTCATCGGGCTTCCTCATGCTCGAGAGCTAGTGGAGCCTGCCACTTTGCATGGATACCAAAAGCTCATGGATACGAGGCTGAATGTGGCATCAAGTTCCCCTCAGCAACCACAACTGGGAAGCTCTATTCTATAGGGCAAAAACCAAAAAACCCATTGCTGCTGGGTCGATTCTGACTCATAGCTACCCTATAGGAGAGTAGAACTGCCCCATAGAGTTTCCAAGGAGCGCCTGGTGGACTTGAACTGCTAACCTTTTGGTTAGCAGCCGTAGCTCTTAACCACTACACCACCAGGGTTTCCATTCTACAGGGCAGGGCCCGTCAAGTCCCCTGGGCATCTGAAGGATAAATGCTCAGTATCTGACCTGTTTGTCAAGGCGCATCTTTAATACATGGTCCTTGCCTGCTGCCTTCTGAAGGTTGACAGGAAACCGAAGTTTTCCCTGTAGTGTTCCACTGGCCTGGAATCTTATCTTCTCCTACAGTTTCTCTGATATCAAGCATCAGGTGAAAGCCCCGGCCCCTGCCACTTCTTGATCCACTCAGCTCCGTCTGACCTTAGAATGTTTTTTATATCTGCACTCTGCCCTGGCCAGGTGGCTCAGTTCCCTGCCTTGGTTGGTTTTAGCTGATCAGTGCAGGCCAGAAGACTTACACAATATAATAGACATTCCCAGGAGATGTGGTCACGCAAGGTCATCCCAACAAGGAAATGGAGGTGGCCTGGGCCCAAGGATCACCTGGGAGCACAGAAGTGGAGTGCAGGGCATGGTCCTTTAATGCTGGGTTGGGGTGCTGCTTGCCAGCATCCTGGTCACAGTCCCAAGGCTCCCATTGTACTCAGATTCTGGGCTAGGTTTACCCATTTGAGGCTAGCAATTTAATGGTAGGGTTGGGTGCTCTCAAGTTGATTTTCAGCTTATAGTGACCCCATGTGATAGAGTAGAACTGCCCCATAGGGTTTCCTAGGCTGTAATCTTTACTACAGCAGATTGCCAGGTCTTTCTCCCATGAAGCCGCTGGGTGGGTTTGAACCACCACCATTTAGGTTAATAGTCGAGCGCTTAACTTTTGTGTCACCAGGGCTCCTTAATGATAGTGTAACCATGGAAAAAATGAGGGATTTAAGGAATTATTTCATAAAGAGACATATCACTTGAAATCTACCACCATTTTATTAAGTTCTTAAGTGCTTTACTGACATTATCCAGCTATGCTAAGAACCATCAGTGAAATCTGTTCCCCTAAGCATGGTGCCTGGTGCTCATCATTAGTACACAGTACACGTCAGCTACTATTTTTATTTTTTAGGTAATCTATCCCCAAAAGCACCCCTGCATTTTAGCATTGAAACTTTAACTATTTAAACGAATATGAGTATACACGAATATACCAACCCTTCTTATCTGTCCATACCCTTTGTTATGGATTGCATTGTATCTCCCAAAAGTATGTGTTTTAAATCCTAACCTCTATGCTTTGTGGTTATAATCCCACTTGGGAAATGGGTTGTCTTTGTTATGTTAATGATGCAGGATTGTGCAGGGTTGGTCTTGAGTCTTTATGTCTCTTCTGAGATATAAAAGAGATTAAATGAGCAAGCAGAGATGGGAGAGGATAGATGCCATGCCACAGGAAGATCGAGCCAAGAAATAAGGACCTTCCCAGAGTCAACATACAGAAAGCCTTTCCCTAGAGCCAGCACCATGTATTCAGACCTCTTGCCTCCTAAACTGTGAGAAAATAAATTTGTTTGTTAAAGCCACCCATTTGTGGTATTTCTGTTATAGTGGCACTAGATAATTAAGATACCCTTTTCCAAGGAAGATGAAAAAAAAAAACAAACAAAAAACCAACCTAAATGGTTTAAGGTAAAAACAATTTCTGAGATCAATCATAGAAATGTAGAAGAACATAAAATTATTAACTGCAACTCTTATTAAGAGCTACTTTGCCATATAACTGTTTAAAAAGAACAAACAGACCTGTCCTCCTTATCATTTTTATTTGTTCTAGATTCTACCAGGTTAACCTGACTGAAATAGACAGCATATCAACTCTATTTTTCAAATGTGGGAAATGGAGACAAAGCCTTAAGGTCAGAGGATGAAAAAAACATTTAAGGAGAACAAAATTAATATCCAAACTATCTCAATTATTGATGAAAACTTCTAAATGGTAACTATTAAATGGACCATGATAATTAGGCTCAAGAAAAGGGAAAATGAGGAAAAACCATCCATCTTAATAAGAACTAACTTTCTACTTCATCTTAAAATTTACTCAGTGGCAAGGTAGCAACAGTAAACTATCATATCTGCCAGAGTTATCCCATTAGTACACTCTACCGGGTAGGATTTTTCAGTTTCTGCTTCGTCAAGCCAGACAGTGGGTTACAATTCCTGTCTGCCCTTTTTCCCTCCTCTATATTTCTCCTAATAATGACATCCTATGTTAAAGACATAGGTTTGATTATGGCCTACTTATCTAACACACTTTTAGGGCACGTGGCAATTCCACATTTCTTTCATCGTCTTTTTTCTAAGGGAAGTGGCATCTTGACCTCTTGACCATGAATATTTTAAAGCTAAACTCACCATGTATTTCCTGTAGAGAGGGTGTCCTGGTTTGGGGCGAGGGGGTAGCACCGGATCTTGATTTTTTAAGACTTGACTCTTGGCTTTTGAGAGTCCAGATGCCAAGTTACTTTGTTTTCTCTGAAGATCCATGTCAGAAGAGGACCGATTAAAAGGCAGTTTTTTACATGACGTTCTGGCTGCAGAAAGTTTAGGGGGAGGTGGTCTCTCAGGGGCCCCCTTGGGAGGAGGCTGTTGAGCTGGTATGACTTTTCCATTTATAGGTCTGAAAGTCAGTGCGGGAACCATGAGTCAGTGCTGACAGGTATTATTAGGTTCTGTCCTTTCTTACACACACACACACAAATGCTAGTGGAATAGCATTTACGGAAACATGCAGAGTACGCAATTTTTGAGCAAACGACTGCTGCATTCAACATTTTATTATTAGAGGAGTGCCACGATGCTCCAGCTTCCTCTTATCTTGCACTAGAGATTCATTAGTTCAAGACAAACAAGCATTTAGTATCATGAGCTCTCCAAGGCCCCATTTGCTCTTAAACATACCATGACTACTTCAAGAAAGTAAGCACTTTCTACCAAAGTCTGAGATGAAAAGCTTCTAAGATATAAGCTATGCATCTTGTGCATGATTAGAAAAGGAACATCAAAATCCCCTAATATTCATGTTATAGAAGTTACTATTAAAACCCTAATTTAGTAATATACAGAAAGCTGGTTTTGAAAATGGAATAGCACAACTGTTACTTTGAAAGCCTTTCCTTAATTCCTATGATTAAAAAAAGCTACAACACAGTAACTGCTTCTGATAGCATCACAGCCTTTTGTTCGAACAGCTCTGGAACTCAGAAGGGCTGGTTACCTCTGCGCTCACAAGGCCTGTCTCCTTGTCTCCCTTTGGAAATGCCAAAACCAGGTTGGTCTCTCATAACGGGGAGGGAGAGTGTGTGTGTTAATGCAGATATTCTAGAAGTGGAGTTGTTCTAAATTTGGGATTGAGTCTTGTTGGTTTGTTTTAGGAAAAGTAATATAGATTCACCCCTTGGTGGTGCAAATGGTTAATGTGCTCAGCTGCTAACCAAGAGGTTGGAGGTTTGAGTCCACCCAGACATGCCTCAGAAGAAAGGCCTGGCGATCTACTTCTGAAAAACCAGCCATTGAAAACCCTATGGAGCACATTCTATTCTGACACACGTGGGGATTTTGTTTTAAAGTCTATTTTAACTGAGATTAGTATTTCCCCTCCTGTTCTTTTTTGGTAACTGTTTGCTTGATATATTTCTTTCATCCTTTGATTTTTAATAAATTTACGTCTTTGTTTTTAAGGTGTGGCTCTTGTAGACAGCATATTGATGGATTCTGTTATTTTAATCCATTCTGACACACATGGGGTCGGCATGAGTTGGAATCGCCTTGATGGCAACTGGAATATAGACCCATGCTTGTGCTCTGTTTCTGGACTGTGTTAACAGGAAAAAGGAGCAGAGATTCTACAACCTTTTGTCGGGAGCAGAATAAGGGCAGGTGGCCTGTGTAAATTCGTCAGCTTAATACATCTCATATAGCTTTAAAAGAAGATCGAAGGCCAAAACTCAGTCTTGGTGAGAGAAAAGAGAGTCGGGTCTCTGGCACATCATTCATTTTTCTAAGTTTCACTAACTTACTTACCTCGGTGGCAACCTGGGGGGCCCTGGCACAGAACTTCCTGCTTGACCAGCGTAATCAGATTCCTGCTAATATCAAAGAATGTTTTCTGTTAAGTTTACTCTGAAGCAATAGCTTGTCCAGACACATTTTGGACAACTTTTTGGCTGAATCTATAAATGGAAATGTAGCTCGGTTATAGAAAGTAGCTTAAAAGAGCTTTTGGTCTTCAACAATAATAATTCTATCTATTCCCACCTAAATTATCTACTAATGAAATAATGAATTATCTAGACAAATGAAAAGGCCAAGAGGTCTCCTGCTGTGGATCACAGCCCTGCATAGTTATGCACCCAGAGGATTCATAAGATATTAAGGGATGATGTTTAATTTAAGTCACGATAAATTACACAGTAACAATTTAAACAGGCACCATAGGGAATTAAAAAAAAAAAAAGATAAGGTCTTTATTCATCCCATGATAACACATAAAACATGTGCTGCTCCTTAGTTTAAAAACATAATAAGTGAAGTAGTTACTAATTTGTTTTGAACAGGTAGATCTTATCACTGGATGGTTTATTTATTTAATGTTATTTTGAACTGACAACCAAAAACCAAAAACCCACTGCCATCGAGTCAACTCCAAGTCATAGTAACCCTATAGGACAGAGTAGAACTGCCCCATAGAGTTTTTCAAGGCTGTAAATCTTTTTTTTATAACATTTTATTGAGTTTTTGGTGAAAGTGTACACAGCAAGTTAGGTTCCCATTTGACAATTTCCACACAAATTGTTCAGAGACATTAGTTATATTTATCACAATGTGTCAACATTCTCTTTAACTGTGTGCTGTTTGTTCCATTTTCAGTAGTCTAGTTTCCCTGCCCCCTATCTTCTCATCTTTGCTTTTGAGTAATTGTCAATCTTTTGGTCTCATACTGATGGTTTTTAAGTAGAGCACTGATCTTGCATGTAATATCCTTTATTTCATGTGCCACTCTGCTATTTTACTAAAAGGTGATCTCAGGGGATAGGCTTGGTTCTAGGTTTACAGTGTCTCAGGGAGTCCTCTGTTCTCTACAGTTCCAGTTCATCTGACATTTTTTTTTAAAATAAGAATTTGAGTTCTGCTCCATATTTTTCTCCCATTCTATCTGGGACCAAATATTGTGACCCTGATCAGAATGGTCAATGGTGGTAGCTGGGCACCAGCTAGTTCTTCTGGTCTCAGGGTAGATGAGGTTGTAGCTCATGTAGACTTGTTTCTTCTCTGAGCTTTTGGTTAGCTTCTTACTGTTCTGCTCCTGGTGAGGAGACTCGTAGTTGTGTCATACATGGCTGCTCACAAGCTTTTAAAACCCCAGATGCTACTCCTTTCACTAGGATGCAGATCATGATTTTTGTGAACTATGTTACATCAATTGACTTGAGTTGTCCCATGAGACTATGGTCTTAAAGGGCTGTAAATCTTTATGGAAGCAGACTGCCACATCTCTCTCCTACAGAGCCGCAGGTGGTTTCGAACCACTGATCTTTCAGTTAGCAGTCAAGTGCTTTAACCACTGCACCACGAGGGCTCCCTGAACTGATACCCAGAGAATAATATTTCTTCAAGACCTCATAAGGTGGTATATAAAGGAAGCTTAAGGGAGAGCCTGAAAGGAAGGCATGTATTATGGATTGAATTGTGTACCCCAAAGAGATATGTTGAAATCCTAACCCTTGTACCTGTGCACATGGCCTTGTTTGGAAATAGGGTCTCTGAGGATGTTATCAGTTAAGTTAATGTAAAGTCATACTAGAATAGAGTGGATCTTAATCCAATCTGAGTGGTGAGCTTATCAAAGAGAAGAGACAGAGAAGCAGAGGTACAATGGCCATGTGAAGATGCATCTACAAGTCAAGGAATTCCTGGGCCTACCAAAAGCTGGGAGAGACAAGAAAGGATCTTTCCCTAGAGACTTCAGAGGGGTGGTACAAATGATTTGCCCTTGACTATTAACCTAAAGGTTAACTCAGCTGCTAACTGGAGGGTTGGTGGTTCAAATCCAAGCCGCAGCTCCATGGAAGAAAGGCCTGGAGATCTGCTTCCGTAAAGACTATTGTTATTGTTAGTTGCTGACAAGTCAATTCCAACTCACAGTGACCTCATGTGTGCAGAGTAGAAGTGCTTCATAAGGTTTTCAAGGCTGTGGCCTATTTGGAAGCAGACTGCCAGGCCTGTCTTCCAAGGCATCTCTGGGTGGGTTTGAATCTCCAATATTTTGGCTAGCAGTGGAGCGCTTAACCATTACAGCCAAGAAAATTCTATGGAGCAGTTTTACTCTGTAACACATGGGGTTGCCATGAGTCAGAATGGACTTGATGGAAACAGGTTTGGTTTGGCATGGCTGCAACAATGGGTTCAAACATAGCGATGATTGTAAGGATGGTGGAGGACCGCGCAACTTTTCGTTCTGTTTTACACAAGGTCACTATGACTTGGAGATGACTCGAAGACACCTAACAATAACATGGCCCAGCTGATATGCTGATTTTGAACTTCTAGCCTTAAAACTGTGATACAATAAATTTCTGTTCTTATAAGCCACCTAGTTTGTGGTAGTTTATTAAGGCAGCCCTAGGAAACTAATATAGCATGTGAGTGGGAAAAGAAAAGGCCCAAGAAAGAAGAGAGGCTTATACCTTTATCTCAAAGGGGTTAGATGAGCTGGGAGAAAGTGTTTTGTAGGAAAGAAGGAAAGAGTAAAGGAAGATAATGTGAAAAATAAAAGGCAGGGAGAACTGGAAGAGGAGACCAAAGACACTGGAGGTGTAGAGATCAATAGGAAGATTTCTCTAGGGGAAAGGATTCAAACTGAGCTATTTAAATAAGTACAATACATGGAAAGTATTTTCAGATCTTCAGCTGAGTGGGAAGTTATAGACTCTTAAAGCCAAAACTTCCTTTTTTTGTTTTTTTTTTTTGGTGAAAAAGTCTTCGTTACATTCTTCTAATTCTGATCAAGTCTCCTTTTCGTACCTTTCCTACTTTCTAAGTCCGCAACACTGACACTCAAAGAATAGTATTTCTTCAAGACCTCATAACAGGAAAAATGCTAGCCTTTTAAAATTACACTGCATTTTAACTATATATTAACTATATATTTAAGGGGTTTAACTATAGCTTGGAAATCTTTGGCTAATTCAGACTATTTCCCTCTTTCTCAGCTTATAAACAAGTTAAAATTCACTTCCACAGTTTTTAATTCATACCGAGTATGTACAACTTTTCCTGAAACACCAAATGGTTAATTGCCAATAACTGCAATCATCTAAACATGCTTCAGTTATTTTTTTTTTAAATCTGATTTTTAAAAACAAATTAAGTTTGCCCTTAAAACTTGGTTTCATTAATGGGTTCAGTTAATGTAGCGAAGCAAGTCACCAGTTTATAAACCCTGCAATATTCCAGAATATCATCCATGTCTTATAATTACACTGCTGCCTGTTTTCCCCCTGACAAGTACTGCTATGACATTTGAAAAACTCATTTAATTCTTTGGCCATTTTTAATATTAAAACAAACAAACAAAAAGCTCTAACCGACATGCAGGAACTTTCAATGCTCTTCTCTCAAAGTTGTTGTTGTTACTTCCTGCTGAGTTAATTCGGACTCATAGCGACCCCATGTGACAGAGTAGAAAGGCTCCACAGAGTTTTCTTGGTTGTAATTTTTCTGGCGGAAGGAGCTCTGGTGGCACAGTGGTTAAGCGCTTGACTGCTAACCAAAAGTTGGGTTTGAGCCCACCAGCCGCTCTGTGGGAGTTACAGCCTTGGAAATCCTATGGGGCAGTTCTACTCTGTCTTACAGGGTCACCAGCAGTCAGAATTGACTCCATGGCAATAGGTTTTTTTGGTTTTAGCCTTTCCAGAAGCAGATTGCCAGGTCTTTCTCCTTTGGAGCCTCTGGGTGGGTTTGAACCACCAACCTTTCAGTTCGCAGCTGAACGCTTAACTGTTGTGACACCAGGGCTCTATTACTGTTGTTAGATACCCTAATAATTAAGGGTAAATTAAAAAAAAAAAAGATGTATACATTCAACATAAACCAAAAACACCAAACCTATTGCCATCGAGTCGATTCCAACCCTACAGGACAGAGTAGAACTGTCCCACAAGCTCCCCCAAGGAGCAGCTGGTGGATTTGAACTGCCGACCTTTTGGTTAGCAGCTGAGCTCTTAATACATTCAACATGGAAAGGTATTAATGATGTAGTATAACAAATACAGTGTGATACTAATTTTGTACCAAATAGCAGCTGTAGTTCTCTCTGGGTGGTGACATTTTTATGAAGAATCTTGAATTTCTTTTTTAATTTCCCAATTTTCTACAACGAGAAAATGTAAAAAAAAAAAAAAGAAGCAGTATACTTCAATTTCCCTGGGATGTTTGGCACATCGTGAAAAGCACTGCTGTATCTGACAAGCTTCAGATACTCAGATCAGGGCTCCTGTAGGAGCCACTGTCTTGGTGTTTGCTCAGGTCTGGGTTTGTGCCCACGTTCTCCCGATAGTCTTTGGAAGACTACCGATTAGGGGCTTCTTCCTCTTCAATATTCTACACATAACTTGGACCCTCTTCGCACTGCTTTTTGGTAGTTTTTCTCTAGCTTTGACATCCCTGAACTTTTGGCTTTTAATGTGTTTGGATAAGCATTTTAGTTCCAGAAGACGTTTGTTTTTCTGCTTGTACAGTCCCTAAAGATGCCATCTTTTTGTTCATCTGCGTTGGGATGATTTCTTATATTCTATGTAATTTCAAAATAATTTTCACTTTTGGGGAGTATTTTCAAAAGACAGATATTTCTCACGAGACCACACTTTTATCTGTTCTAATTACTGACCAGCCTCCCCAGATGTTTCTTCTCTGTCTCAAGAAACAGGGACTATTTCTTACATCCTGAATTCAGGATCAGGCACTGCCTTTCTTCCATTTACAGAACATGCTTCTTATCAGCTGGCTTAGGGGTTGTTTCTTTGATTCCTTATTGACTGGGCAGCTTCTCCCACTTCTCTTCCTGCAACTGTTGGCAGTCTCCTTGGGGAATGCCTTGGGAATCTTGGGTTCCAACAGTGGGCAAGCAAGCACACAAAGGCACACAAAAGTGTCTGTTCCTGCTGACGGAACAGCTGCAGTGGCTCCCGGTGTTCCTCACCCTGGAGTCCCTCGTCATTCAAGTGAAGAAAGTGAGGCTTGGCAACTGCAGCCCTCTTGTCCTGGGACGGAAAGTTCCCAGGCACTCAAGGCAGCAGAAACACTAGCGGGTGTTTGTTCTGTGCCTCCTCAGGAGACATAGTTGGCCTACACTCAGGGGTCACTGGAATGGCGAAGTATTCTTCATGGTCTCTCGTCTAAGATTCATTCAGGAACTGCCATTCTCAAATAAAAGGAATTTCTCAGGCGCAGATTTGACTTTCTGGCCCTGGAAACCTATACGTGGGATCTCAGGCACATCACGTAACTTGTAGGTCTACTTCCTCATCTCTCCTTCCTTCAGACTCCATGTGGACAGAATGCTCTGACTCTCTTTGTCAACAGTGCAAGACAGGATTTTCCACGTTTTTTTATATAAGATACACAATAATGAACATAGTATCTTTCAGATGGTTTTGTTTATTCTAACCTCCTTTTCTTGTTTTTCTAAAATATGAGTATTGCTTTGAGGATCTGCTTAACACCACACATAATAAAAATAAAAACCGAAACCAAACCAAACCTGTTGCCATCATTCCAACTCACAGCAACCCTAGAGGACAGAGTAGAACACAGGGTTTCCAAGAAGCGGCTGGTGGATTCAAACTGCCAACCCTTCAGGTTAGCAGCCACAGCTCTTAACCACCGCGCCATCAGGGCTTCCCACATATAATAATGCCTAATATTTCAATAGAGCTTTATAGTTCACAAAACCCATTACGCCACTTAATGAATGATACGTGCATTTTTGTCACCCTCTCACTCCCTTTTACAACCCTTCGAGAGTAGAAGCCAGTAACTTTCTCAAGCAACATTTCCTCCTTAGAATTTTGGGATTTTCCTATTCAACAGTAATATGGTTTGGGCTCTCTTATCCTCTTTTGGGCTTTCCCAACCCAGTTTTAATAAAAATTTACTACCAAGTACTTTGAAAATATAAGTGATCACTAAATTTAATTCATCCTACAGGAAAATCTCATTAACTTGATATTGGCTAATTCAATTTAATGTCTCCTTCAAAGAAATTTCTCTTCACCAGATGATTTGATGAGTTTGCCTGTATAATAAACATAGTTAATGCACAATGTAAAAACTATTATGAAATTTGAACTAAAAATTTGGTTCAAAGACTTTAAGAATTGGTTGCTTTTGAAATAAACCTTAAAGATCTACCACTTGGGAATCAAGGATATGTAAATGATCTAATTACTTAAAAAAAAAAAATGAAGACACTGTGTGGAGACTGAAATAAAAATATATATTTTAAAACTCTTTGTTACAGATTAAATTGTGTCTTCCAAAAATATGTGTTATAAATCCTAACCTCTATGACTGTGGTTACAATCTCATTTGGGAATGGGTTGTCTTTGTTAACAAGGCAGGATTAATGTAGGGTATGTTTTGAGTAGAAACCCTGGTGGCATAGTGGTTAAGGGTTACATTTGCTAACCAAAAGGTCGGCAGTTTGAACGCACCAGGTGCTCCTTGGAAACTCTATGGGGCAGTTCTACTATGTCCTATAGGGTCACCTATGCGTCAGAATCATCTCGACGGCAATGGGTTTGGTTTTTTTTTTTTTTTTGGTTATGGTTTCAGTCACTCCTACGAAGTATAAAAAAAGCAAATTAGGAAAAGCGAGCAAACAGAGATGTGGGAAGAGAGACTCCAAGCCACATGAAGATCATCCAGGAGCAGAAGCTCAGAAGAAACAAGGACCTTTCTCCAGAGCCAACAGAGAGAGAAAGCCCTCCCCTAGAGCTGGCACCCTGAATTCAGATGACTTCTAGCCTACTAAAGTGTGAGAAAATAAATTTCTGTTTGTTAAAGCCACCCATTTGTGGTACTTCTATTACAGCAGCACTAGATAACTAAGACACTCTTTAACCACCATCTGTTAACAAGCGCACTATAACGCAATATTTTTTAAATTTAAAAAGTAATTTCTCCTTAAATTTTGGGTTAACAAATTCTTATGGTAATTATTTTAAGATTATGCCACTAATTGGTTATTTTAAATAAACACTGACAATTTGACAAAAGCTATTTCCACAAATATTAAAGATTTTTAGAGATTTTCCATAGCCTTATTATTAATGGTGTTATTTAAAAGGCAATGTCATTACATTGGTATAGGAAGAATTATAATGAAATGCAATTAATTGGCCTAATTCTTTTGCTCTCTAGGGATTTTTAAAATATTGAACGTTACATTAAATATGTACATGGGGCTTGGAAATTGGTTTGTAGTAAAGATATTTTTTATCTGACCAGTAGTAAACTAATTTAGATCTCAGCTGAATATTTAAAATTAGCACATAGCTTGGTCTTCAATCTTACATGATTATAATGACCACTTACCAAGTTTCTGGCTCGGTCAACATTACTTAGTTTTCCAGATACTGCACTGTAAGTGTTTCCAATGGGTTTTTCAGCAGGGAGAGGAGGCGGGCTGTGTGGATCCTCATGTAAACCTGCAAAAACAGTAATTCATCAATAATTTCTGGTCTTTGGGGATTCCAAAGGATGAAATGTTTGCTACTTGATTACTCAGGAAAACGGCTATCAAGAAAGACCTTTACAAAGAATGGAGAGCTAAGCAAAAGAGAAAGAGCTCCTAGCAAACCTCAGGGAACTGATGGGTTAGTAGACATCAGTTAGTTTTACTGAATGTTTTACAGACAGCGAAAACAGTACAAAATAATTGCAAGAGCAGCTAGCATTTGTTGAGAACCTTCTAGATGCCAGCCATTAAGTTAGGCACTTTATCCACATACATTTCTCCAACCAAGATGTATGTGCTAGATCTGTGCTGTTCATTAGCGACCAGCCACATGTAGCAATTTTTTTTTCTTTTTTGGTGGTGAAAATATACACACCAAAATATCTGCCAACACAACTTCCACATTTACAACTCAATGACATTGGTTACATTTTTCATGTTGTGCCACCATTATTGCTATCCTTTTCTAAAATATTCCTCCACTGTTAACATAAACTATGTGCTCCAAACAAAAACTTATATATTTGTTTATTTCATATAAGTGAGATCATACAGTATTTGTCCTTTTGCAACTGACTTATTTCGCTCAGTATAATGTTTTCTAGGTTCATCCGTGTTGTGGCATGCATCAGAACTTCATTTCTCTTTAAGGCTGCGTAATATTCTATTGTGTATATAGACCATATTTTGTTTATCTGTTCATCTATTCCTGGATATTTAGGTTGTTTCCACCTTTTGGCTACGGTAAAAAGTGCTGCAATGTACATTGGTGTATAGGCACATGTGGTGATTTAAACTTAAATTTTAATAAAAATTAAATAAAATTTAATTTTCAGTTCCTCAGTTACATGAACCACATTTCAAGTACTCAACAGCCACATGTGTCTAATAGCTATCATATCTGACAGAACGGATAAAGAACATATCCATCTCCATAGAAAGTTCTATCAGACAGCGCTATGCTAGATAATATCCTACCCATTTTATAGATGAAGAAACTGAGGCTGAGAAAAAAATAAATGAACTACCCTATGCTAGTAATTGCCAGATCTTTCTAATGAAGCATATTGCTTCTTAATAGGTGGTATATCCAACCCTCCCTCATCCAAATAATGAAATGTTTTCTAATTCATTAGCTCCAGATCAACAGGCTTAGTTACCCTTGATTTAATAAACAATATCTTTATACTCAAACCACATCCTTACTTCAGTGATAGGGCACCTCCAGCTTATTTGAAAAAGAAGAAAACAAAGATGACTAGATTTAATTAGTGACAGCTAATTAAAATCTGTGTGCAAAAATATGGGAAAAGAGGATGACGGTGACATGCTGAAGCTGCCTTTTCCACACTATTTGGCTTAGGCATTGAAAAGAAATGAGAATTCTTCTCTTTCTTTCAAATGAATATCCCTTGCTTCCATTTCACATGAAAAACCTACAACAAGAGGATGATTTGTCAGGGCTTCCTGTTTTAGCCATAAACAGGAAAACACTCTCAAAGGGAGCAAAATGCTCAGGCCAGCTATTACGAAGGCGATGATGTAGGCAGGTGTTCTTAGTGAGAGGCAGGGCTGCTCTGGGAATTAAGACACACACGGAGACATCCCAGCTCAGTTGCCATCTTGAAGACTTTCTCTGTGTTGCAGTTTCCTTATTTTTATAAGGAATAATGAATTATTTGGGCTTAACGTTATTGTGACAAATACTGAAGCATATAAAGGTAACAATATGAAAGCAGAGAGGAAATAACTTCATGGCAGGAAGGGGTATAGGGAGTAGCTGGTGTGTGTGTGTGGGAGGGAGGCAGAAGGGTGTTTCCAATTTTAAACAGTGTGAACAGAGAAGGACTTACTGAGAAAAGTGGCATTTGAACAAAGACCTGAAGGAACTGTAGGGGAGGGAGCCATGCAGATATCTGGGAAAAGGATAGTCCAGGTAGAAGGAACAGGTACCAAGAGAAAGGAGCCAGACTGTTCAAACAGCCAAGACTGGAGCAAAAGAGAAAGAAAGAAACCAAAGACTCAAAGAAGAAACTAGTCTACAGGACTAATAGTCTACACAAACCACGGCCTCACCTACCTTGAGAGGAGAAGAACTAGATGGTGCCCAGCTATTACTACCGACAGTTCCGACCAGGGACGCGATAGATGGTCCCAGACAGAATGGGGGAAAAATGGAGAACAAAACTCAAATTCCTAAAAAAGTTCAGACTTACTGGAACGACAGAGACTAGAAGAACCCTCGAGATTATTGCCCTGGGACACCCTTTAAACTTAGAACTCAAACTACTCCCAGAGGTCACCTATCAGCCAAAAGACAGAGTGGCTCATAAAATAAATAATAACACCCATGAGTACTCTAAACAATCATCTAAATGAGACCTAAAGGTCAACATGTACCCTAGACCAAAGATGAGAAGGTAAGGGGGACAAGGAAGCTAGATTAATGGAATCAGAACCACCAGAGTGGAAATAATGAGAGTCCTGACACACTGTGAAATGTCACTGAATAATATGTACAGAAATTGTTAAATGAGAACCTAATTTGCTATGTATTATTTTCTCCAAAGTCTCCAATTTTATTTTTTTAAATAAAATATTAAAGAAAAAGGAACAGCCAAGAGTTTTACATCACAAAGCTGTTCCTTCCAACCCTTGCCCCTTCCTAGTTCTCAGACACTAGAAGTCACATTCTTTTTCCTCCACAGCATATATGTATTGCTTAGTAATTGTAATAATAAAACTCTAGGGAACAGGTTTTTGGTATAAATAGAAATAACTCTCTAAAAACTGTTTTGGCACCTCAGTTTTCTCACATCTAGCAGTAGAGATGCAACTTTCAAATGGCTTCCGGAGCTCTGTCAGGATAATAATTAAAGGTACTCCCTCAGTATATCCTTTCAGGATTTCAGGAGAATTAATCCAGCTTACAGGTGTGCAGAAGAGTTGATACAGCAGGCCTGAGACTGCTATTCTTTGAAAGGTCTTCTAAGGTTGGCCTTTGGATAATGTCTGTGAATTGGATTTTGGACAGCTCCCACCATTCTCAGAACTGATAAGAGTGGCTCACTGGCTTAAAGTGTTTGGGCAAACAATGTGGTTTATGCTGAACACCTGCTTTCCTTCTGGGAGTCTGGAATTTTGTTAACGCGTCTGGCAGGGTGCCTACATAAGAAGCCACTAATAAAACATTCTGAGCACTGAATTGCTAATGAGATTCCCTGGTTGACAATAATTCACACATGTTGTCACAACTTGTTGCTGGGGGAATGAAGCGTGTCCTGTGTGATTCCACTCGGAGAGAACTCTTGGAAGCCTGTGTCTGGTTTCTTCCAGACTTTGCTTTGTGCACTTTTTCCCTTTGCAGATTTTGCTGTGTATCCTTTTGCTGAATAAATCATAATCATGAGAATACCTATATGCTGAGTCCTCCTAGTGAATCATCAAACCTGAGGAACTCCGACACAACAGGAGAGCAAATTCATGTGCAGAAGTTGTATTACTTAAAACCCACGCGAGCTTCTGACAATATTTATTGCTGTATCTCACTATGCCTGCTAAAATCCAGAATACTCAACAAGGTTAAGAGCAGAGAGGCAAGCAACTGCTCATATGTCAAAGAACCAAATAAGCTATCATCTCACTGATGTGTGAGCTACATAATCCTGTCAAAAAAAACACCACTGGTTGTTTAACCTAATCTACCATATGACCTCCTAAGACAAGAGAACCCATCAGAATTTGGTGTCCTTGACTTTTTTCTCCTGTTTGTTCTTCACAGCAACTGAGTTCAATCTTCTTGATACTTGCCTGGGAACCGACAGTTAATAACAGACTAAAATCAATATGATCCTTCTTGGTATACTTTATAAAGAAACCAAACCCTTAAAATAAAGCAATTATTATATGACATTCAGGGTAGGCCTGCAATACAGCTCTGGGTTGCTATAGGTGAAGCACTGAAACACTGGTGGTACCGTTCAGGGGAATGGAGTAGGCAGATTCTCTTGTTAGACAAGGGTGCATCTGGGTTGTGCAAAGGCACTGCAGGTATAAATGCGACCAGAGGCCCATGGAGAAAGTTGTGTGATCACTAGAAGCGTGGAATCTACCACCACCACACACACAGACACACACACACATACACAATTTTTAATTATCTCTGGGAACTAAAAAAAAAAAAGAAAAAAACACCAGTTCTGTCCTCTTTGCTTCCTCCTGACAAGAAGTATCCGATTTCTTTTTGAAAAGCTTAAAGCTCCTACAAAATTTCATTTATTGTACCATCAAGAAAATCACATAAAGAAGTATATCAAAATGTAATGTTACACTAATTTTGAAAATATTTTTGTATCTTGTTATGTTTTTAAAGTTTTTGGTTAATGCTCTTCACACAATTCATACATAAGCATATTTGGATCATACTGACTGGAGAAACATACTCCTGAGAATACACAACCTCATTTGCTATTAGTTTCAACTACTTCCCTGCCAAAGCTTTACCCGCAGCATTAACATGGGACACTATAGTTGTTCTGAGTGGCAGCCTCCTTCTTTTCTCTCTGCCTAAAGACAACCTTAAAGAGAAACAAAATCCAATTTACTGTACTAAGTCTTTAAAGAATTAGTTCTTTATGTTCTTAAATGTTCTTGACCACGAATAATGATAAGTGGCAGATTAGACATAAATTCAAAAGCTGACACTGATAAATTAGCATATATTCCTCCCAGGTTCTTGGAGAGGCAAATAATGAAGTGGAGAGGCGCTTACATTTTCCTGGTTTGGCTGGAATTCGAATCACAGTGGGCTTCCTGGTGGATGCTGGTTGAACTGCTGGTTCCTTTGTTGGTTCTGTTTTTGTGGGGAGCTGAAAGGGATCTAACGAAAAACACAGTTTATTTTGCATGTTTTAGTTAACACGGACACAAACAAAAAGCCTCATTCTTAATTGAAGAGTCACATTTTTCATGCCCTAGGGAAAACTGTTCATGGATAAACAAAATCTCAGTTGGCAGAGACAAAAACAAAGTTGGAGCTCATGACAGGAAATAACTTAGAGCTCTGTAAATAATTCACACAGCTTTTCTTTCTCTCTGACGAGAAAGATCCAGGGCAATCTTGAATTATGTAGAAGCTATCTTTCACTGGTGTGCAGTCATTTCATAAGTGTTTGCCTGAAAATGAGGGGCAATTGGAACAAAAAGCCAATTGTCCCCCATCTTGAAGCCTCCCAGATACCCCAGGAAGGAAGGACTCCCTTTTCCTTACGTCCCTTGTGCTTGTACTATAGGACTCAACTTCAGACTCGCCAGTGGCCCTGGTCCTACTCAGCACGGCACAGGTGCTTAGCAGTCTCAGATTGAGTGGTTCAGTAAAATTACACTTCCATAACATGAAAATGAAAAGCATCTTATCCCAGAAATAAGATAACACATCTCTCTTCAAATATTTAATTTTGGGGCAAGGATAGATTTCTCCATCTTAACTGACTTATTTAAAATGGACAGTATATGCTTAGAGAACGTATTTTAAACAAAAGCATAACTACCAAACTTTGTTACTGAAAGAAATTGTCTTTTTTCTTTAATGTAGTACTAGGAATACATCAATGAACAAAACAAAGATCTCTGTCCTCATGGAGCTTATGTTCCAGTGGGGACATGGAGACAATAAACAATAAATATAATTGTTGTTAGGTGCCATTGAGTCGATTCCGACTCATAGCAACCCTACAGGACAGAGCAGAGCCCCATAGGGTTTCCAAGGAGCAGCTGGTGGATTCGAACTGCCGATCTTTTGGTTAACAGCCAAACTCTTAACCACTGTGCCATCAGGGCTCCATAAACATAATAGGCAAGTGCTTTATGTGGTATGTTAGGAGGTGAGAAGTACTGTGGAAAAAGGAAAGTGCAGAGCAGGGTGAGAAGCCTCAGGAGTGGGCGAAAGGGAGGCAGATTACTGGAGTGTGGCAGGGGCTGGGTAGTGTCCATTAATGATACTGGTTGGCTGTTTTTCCAACAACGGAACCGTAAGTATTCTAATAGTTATTCCAATTTGAATAATGTAATCTGGACTTCAGGAAACAGCAGTGCCAATACATAAAAAGGGGTAGTTATGTTAAAGACCACAGGAGCCCTGGCAGCAAAATGGTTAAGTGCTCGGACGCTAACCAAAAAGTTGGTGATTTGAACCAACTCTGCGGCTCTGGGAGTGAAAAGACCTGGCAAACTGCTCCCATAAGGATTATAGCCTAGAAAACCCTATGGGGCAGTTCTACTCTGTCATACGGGGTCACTATGACTCAAAATCGACTCGATAGCACCTAACAACAACAAAAACATGTTAAAGGCCAATACTGCAAATATTACCAAATCTGATCTCCCCAAATGGTTTATGTATTATAAATAATATTAGACAAAATGAGAGAATATGAAGACCCCATATATCTTGGCATACATTTTATTCAAACACAGAAACATGGTATCTTTCTTTCTGTGCTTATCTTTCCTTTCTGTTCATCTCTCTCCCTGCCATTGCCTCTGCTTGGCCTCCTTAGCCCTTGTTGGACCCCCTGACCTCCTGGGAATCTTCAGGTCACGTCTTCGCTGCTGCTGCAGAGACTTGACCCTCTAGCCCCTTCTCTAAGGGCTCAGTCCTTTCTGCTGGAAAAAAGACCCAAAATTCAAGAAAAGGATTAAGGCTGATAATGGGTCACTGTGTTCCACCTGTCAAGTGGCATTTCTGCTTTGACAGTTGCTTTGGTACCTATTATCTGTTGGTTATTGGTACTGGTTATTAGTTGATAATGTTTTTGGAGGGGTATGGAGGGGGGAGGAGTCCCTGGGTGGTGCAATTGGTTAAGCGCTCGACTATTAGCTGAAAGGTTGGTGGTTCAAAGCCACCCAGAGGCACCTCAAAAGACAGGCCTGGCAATCTGCTTCCGAAAAGTCACAGCCTTGGAAACCTTATAGAGCAGTTCTACTCTGCACACATGGGGTCACCATGAGTCAGAAATGACTCCATGGCAACTACAGCAACAATGTGGAGAGGGAAGAAAATCATCAACATGAAGTGACTTAAATTGTTTTCCAACTCATATTAAATTCTGGACCAATGTGTGGTGCAACAGTTAAAGCGTTTGTCTGCTAACCAGAAGGTTGGCAGTTCAAATCTACCAGCCGCTCCTTGGAAACCCTACAGGGCAGTTCTACTCTGTCCTATAGGGTCACTATGAGTTAGAATCGACTCGACGGCAATGGGTTTCTTTCTTTCTTTTTTTTAATACCACCTACACTCTCTCTCTGATAGCCCAGGAGTGCAGGCATGGACAAGGTAGGCTGAAAAGACAAAAAAGGCTAATCAGTGCCCCTGAGTGGTGGGGCACAGGGACGTTCACCATGTGCCTGCTGTGGGAGAGTTGGCCTCAGGAAACCCTGCCCCAAATCCTGCACACAGTGTAGGCAGATTGCACCTATGTTGTTAAAGGTGGTCTAGTCATTTAGCTTGAAACCTGAAGGATTTAAATCAGCGTAGAATCTATACTACTTATATACAAAATGCGGCCAGTGGTGGTTCAGTGGTAGAATTCTCGCCTTCCATGCAGGAGACCTGGTTGGATTCCCGGCCAATACACCTCAGGCACAGCCACCACAATTCTCTCTGTGGAGGCTTGCGTGTTGCTATGATACTGAACAGGTTTCAGTGGAGCTTTTAGACTAAGATGGATTAGGAAGAAAGGCCTGGTGATCTACTTCTAAAGTCAGCCAATTAAAACCTGTGGATCACAACAGTCTGATCCACAACAAATCACGGAGATGGAGCAGGACTGAGCAGCATTTTGTTCCTTTGTGCATGAGGTCGCCATGAATAAGGGGCCAACTCGATGGTACCTAACAATATACAACCATTCAAAGCATTCTAACTACATTATGCCCCCACTCACTCTCTCTTTTTTGGTCTTTTATTTATTTATTGGTCTTTTATTTTTAATACCATTAAAACCAAAACTCATTGCCGTCGAGTCAACTCTGATGCATAGCGAGCTATAGCCATTAGCTAGCTGGTCTTTAATAATTTGCACTCAAATCATGTGTAATTAGTCTACTATGAAAATCCCTGGAAATTTTTTTTTCTCTTTCTCAATACAGTGAGGAAAAGAAGTCTTGGTGTCCTACCACTGGGGCTGCTGGGCAGCAGTGGTCTGTTTAATCATCTGCCCTGGCTGTGAGTCAAATGAGCAGCACGAGTGCTCCTCCGGCTGCGTCGTGGCACAGCCGTGAGTCACATAGGAGTGTGGGTTTGTGGGGGATTTGTGGGGAGGACAGGTGCAGTACTTCAGGGAGAAGGTGGAGCCAGAAGCCTGTTTTCCATCGTGATGATGATGGGCACGTCCCTCCCCAGCAACAGTCTGAAGTTCATTTCTTACGTCTTTCCATGGAAGGTTTTTCCCCCCACAACAGAAATAACTGGGCATTGTCTAAAGCAAGGATGGCACACTATGTTTTCCAACGCCATCTCTGGCACTGCCAGGTCACTGTGGGTCAGAATCGACTCGATGGCAATGGGTTTTTTGGTTAGGTAGGAAACTGGATAATTGGTAATGGTTACAACTTTAAATATTCATAACCTTTAACCCAGTAATCCCACTTTGGAAAATTTATTCTTCAGAAATAAAGACAATAGTAGGCGTGAAAATGTTTATGAGAATGTTTACTTCAGCATATTTTTGTAATGGTAGAATTAATAAATAAAATAAAGATGAAACAATATGAATGTCTATCAATAGGAAAAACGTGGACTCAACTGTGATGCACTCATATGAGGGAATTTGGGGCAGACATGAGGAAACAATCAGTTAGACTTCCACCTCTAAAGCCTAAGGGGGAAAAAAGAACCTGATTGCTGTCGTGTTGATTCTGACATATGGCAACCCCACATGCTACAGAGTAGAACTTGCTCCATTGGGTTTCTTGGCTGTAAATTTTATCGAAGCAGACTGCCAAGCTTTTCTTCCACAGTGCTGCTGGGTGGGTTCAAACCACCACCTTTTGGTGAGTAGTCTGTGTCACCCAAGGACTGACCACAAAATAAAGAGAAGTCCACAAAATCTCACTGTTAAATGCAAAACACACACTGCTGAGTAACGGGTAGAGGATGATAAAAATTTTTTTTGTAAAAACTGGAAAAAAGTCCACATATGTATATATGTTTGTAAGCTTCAGTTTGGCATATAAAGTGTAAAAGGTTACACACAACAATGTTCACACTGGTCACTGTGGAGACTGAGATGGACTGGAGGGATATTAACATTTTTCTTGTTCTTCCTTTACTAAATCTCTGTATTGTCTGACTTGCTACCACAAATAAGTTACTTTTGTAACAAAAAAAATCAAATAAAATAAATTCAATCATAAAAAAGTTACAATACGCCCTGCCAAACAAGTCAAAATAAAAATCACTTAAACATAAAGAAATAATGAAAATTCTTATCTCTTTTGTTGCTTTGTCAAGGCAATAATGGTTCTACAATTTTGCATAAAATCACTAGAAAAATTAAAGCTTTTTTTGATACCATTCCCCAGTGATTCTATTTAATAGGAAAAAATGCAGACACGTTTCTGAATTTGTCTAACTTAAACCTATTTAGTTAATCATCACTAGCTTCTACTTTGTAACCCTGAATAATATAACTGTTTAGAAACATCACTCATTATTTTATTATTTTTTAATTTCTATTCATCACCAGGCTAAGAATCACTGGGGGAGGCATCTCTTTTTCTTAGGCAAAGACTGCAAGAGAGAACCCTCCCAGTTTATTTCAGCCTCATTCTGCTTATGATCGGCTCTTCAAAGAAAGATGACTCACTAATTAATTATTT